CAAAACCCCAAGAGATCTCTCTCAAAGCAAATGCAGTAACAAATATTTTCATCTAAACTACTTTGATGCAATACATATGCACTCGTTTCGTGTATGGCAACTGATATTCGAGTACGCAGAGAACAAGACTACGATAACAATGAAAAAAAGAAAGTCTAGAACCTTACTCCAAAAAAAGGCTAAGAAAAGCTTACGAGGTATCATTGAGAAAACCATCATGATTTCAAGTCCTGGCAAAAATTTCTTTTAGCAGGTCATGGCTGAAATAGTAATTCAAGTGTGGAGCAAAAGTGCCTTACAATCATAAAAATAGATGCAAGTTAAAATAATTTCCACAACTTTCTACAACATTCTAAACTTCACTCGCATACCAGGTAACTGGATTCAATGCTAAAAACCTACACAACAATGGTAAAACTTAAAAGCGATAGGGGACCCCCAAAAAGATAAATAGCATCTGACCAGTAAGCAGATCTCTTAAATCTGGTCCACCATCATTAATAAACAGAGGCAACACCCCCAATGTACAGATTCATTGTAACTGATCCAACAAGTTAAAAAAAATATGTAGATACAATTAAAGTTCCTTTTTTATTCTCAATGCCACGACAGGTGATGGAAATTAATAAATTGATCGTGTATATTATCAGCTTTTTTTTTTTTTTTTTTTTTTTTTTGTTTCTCCTTTGAAATTGAAAAAATGAAAAAAAGTTACTGTATAACTCTGAGCAACCAGGGAGGCACTCAAAAAAGTGTACACCTACCTCAACTGAGAAATATATACAGCTTGAGAATGGCATCCATAAGCTGCTTTAAGCTGCTCAATAACTCCTATAACTCAATTGTCTTTACAATTTCTCGAGTAGCTTGTAGACAACCTGGATTGTGATTGAAAAAAATCAAATGGTGCTCCAGATCCAAGAGAACGTCTAGTAGAATTTGGAGAATCTGACAGTAGAGGTTCGTAAACTGGGTTTCTGCCCTTTGGCTGTGCAATACATAGTGATGAAACTTCTTTCTCTATTGATCTTTGTTGGGGCTCAATATTCCCCAGTGATAAAATAGGGCCACCCATACGTTCTGCCTGCTGAAGTGTATTGATCTTGCTTGGTCTGTATGTATACCGGAAATACTTCAAAGCTAATATAGGACCCATCCCAGCTCCAACTATGAGCTGTAACAGAACAAGAGTCTGGTTAAAGCACACCTCTGCATTTGTGAAGCATTGAATTTGATATTTCATGTGCTGGCCATTCTCAGGATTTCAGGTTATCATAGAAACTGTCACATCAAGGTGCAGGGTAGATCACAGGTTTTAAGACAGAAGGAAATTTGTGACCCAGGTTTCTTGAATTATACAAAGTTTAGCAAGTATCATCGACTATTTCATTTGGAAAAATTAAGTTTGAAAAACATGAGAAGAGATCATAGTCCCGTATACTTAAAGAGGACAGTGAAATAAAAAGCATGCTGCCTCCCTGGGGATCCCCTAGATATAGGCCAGATGTACACTACACAAGAAATGAAAAATAAAAAAACAGGACACATTCATATAGTATTTGCACTACTCTGCAACATAACATAATGTGTCACCCAACCAGTAGTCAGCTAAAAACCATGACTTCTAATAAAGGACCATGGAGTATCATTGAGCAGAGAATCTACAAAAGAAAGTAAGAAATCAATAAAATGGAAAAGAGGAACTTACAAACATTGTTATCCAATAAGATGGTTGCCCACACAACCGGAACATAATTGTATACATCCCTGACGATGGCAGGGCACTGAAAATCCAGTTGATGATATAGAAAGCAGCTAAGTTGCCCCATATTGCAAGATGTTGCAAAATTGTAAAGGAACTGTATGTGACATTCAAAAGGGAGAGCAGTTAGAATCATTTCCTGCAATGTTAACCAAGGTCCTTGCACATTTGGGACAAGCCCCCGAAGTCTCTATATTAGAATATTGCCAATGAGTTTAACTTTTTAGTGCAGTATTAGATTGATATCATTGAGAAATCATGTAGTCAATAGACTTCTGGGATGAATAAACCCTTATCTATTTCTCTGTTGCATTATGAATATTCGGAGAAAAACGGCTATAAGACAGCTGTGAAAAGCCAACTGAAATAAAACTTCAATTTTTCTCAAGAAAAAAGTACAAACACAGAGACAATATTGATGAGATGGAAGCTTACTTGGTTTCTAATGCCACAACAAAAGCCTGCAACCATATACATCCCGAGAGAGCCACCATTGAAAGCTCCTCCATTTCACTCTTTTCGTAAGCATATGCATTTATGCTGATTACAAATATAACAATAGCCTGCAACCAACACAATCAACCCCAAAAATGTGACAAGCAAAGACTACAAAGACAAGTAAATCATCTGTAGGATCTAGACAAAAATTATGAGAATAAGACAAGCAAATTCATTTTTGTATGAGAGCAAAGACAGCAGCAGGGAACATGCTGATTTAAACTACACCTCTCAAACTTGTAACTGTATAGTTTTTCAAAGTTTCGGTACCAAGTAACTTGATACACATAAAGAAGCATCTTAGTTGTTCTAATCACCCACTTTTCTACCAATCATTCACATAGACCATCAAGTTTGTGTTTTTCATACTTCCATCTATCATGAGAGACAATACTAAGAAGCCGTTACATTACCATCTTCTAATCTCAATTTATCAACTGGTCCTCCCACAGTTCATCAGCTCATGCTTATTGCTATTAGTTGGGGCACCAGATGCTTCTACACCACCTTTCTATAGTCCTAACTTTCTATGCTATGTTATGCGAGTATTAGATCTTTGGATGCCTTCCATCTTTTTCCTTGATCTAGAATGTTCATAGGATAGAAGAGCCGAAAATTTAGAGCTCGAAGCACAAAAACATGAGACTTATATTACAAAGAGAACTTACTGAACAAATGATACTCACATGGAAAAGAGAACGGCCAAACCACCCCGCAAATGTGCTAGGATTAAGAAGTCTGAGTTTTTTAAAAAATCTGCAGTCAGCTTTGGTGATAATTCACTTGGAGAAAATAGAACTTCTTGAGACAGCAAAACAATTAAGTTCCACATCCAAATGGAAACTCTCAGTATTTTCAAGTATAACCAACATTAAAACAAAACATCCGAAGTAACAAGATACCTTCCTGCTTGACAGTAAAATAAAATTTGGGGATGCTGCATCACTGTTCCTTCACTAAGATCTTTGTCAAGAACATTGACTAGAACAGGAACACTTGTGTAGAAAACATTATAAGCCATCAAGCTAACAGAATTGAAAAGACTTGTCCCTGAGACACCTGAAACAAAAGAGAAACTGATATGCTCTAAGGTCAGTACATAAGGAAAGAATCACATGCTAGTTTATCGATGAGCATCAATATCCAGCAAAGGTAAGCTAATCAATGGATCATATATGGAAACTCACAAGATTTGGATGAAACATATAAGTAACGATTTGTAGAAGGAATACTGGGAGAGAAAGGCTGTCCGGTTGTATGAATACCGCCCATGGACAAGAATCAATCTTTTAAGGAACTTAAATTCTGCAATCCCAAGAAAACCAATGTCAAGATCTGATAAAATCTACATCTGAAATCTGAACAAACTATGTTTTTTCAAGAAAAGGCATCAGCATTACATACCAAAGTTTCATTGGCTATAGCATAATTAATGCCAAATACCTCTGAGAGCACAAATAGACACATAAAACAGAACAAATAACAAAATCAAAGGAAAAAAATCCAGTCCACGTAACTAGGGGGTAAGAATCAGGATTTATTCTCTCCATTTCCCCTTTCCCTCCCTTGGGCAACAAAAACCTGAAGTTGAGGTTCTGTAATCTATCATCAAGAATGATATGATTTCTTGAACTTTTCAAGATTTATCACCATCCAATAAAATATTATTTGAGATAAAAAGAATGCAGTATATTAAACTATACAAGAAAATATTTAAAAGCAATAGAAAAAATGAGTCAGCAGAAATTATTATCCAAAGAGATATCTACATTAGATGACTTACTTCCAATACTATAATCAGCTGCCCTTGCTGCTTGCAGCCCTTCTCTTCCACTAATCCCAACACCTATGTCAGCTTGTTGTATCATTCTTACATCATTCCCACCATCACCAATTGCCAGTGTTCTATAATCACATGATTTTAGGAGCTCCACAAGCTGCCAAAGGCAGTACTACATACATCAATGGTTTTCTTTTGACACAATAAATGAGGGCAATACATATTGGTACATAACAAGAAGTTACATACATAGTTTTCTTTTGACAGAATAAATAAAGCCACTAACTGTTGGAACATAATAAGAAGTACAGTAAAATATTTTACTTAGAAAACATTCTTCAATTAGCTTATCTCCTCCTTAAAGTCAGTTTTTACAGTTTCAATATTTTACAGTCTCCCCGGAGATGGGTAAAACAAATCTTTCTGCATTAACTACCAGACTAATGTCTGCTACCAGTCTATGCATACAACTGACTTTATAGATATATACTACCATTTTATAAATATCAAAACCAAAAATTTGTAGTTAAAGTTCTTGCTTTGCTTTTCTACTTTAAGCTTACTTTTATATAAGCACCAGGACTTCCAGCATGCCAAGACCATTCCCTGACAAAAAAAAGGCATTTTACCCACCGAGCCATCCAGTGGCAAGCCCAAAATGTTAAAATTCTCTCCTATTTCTTTTTACATGATTTTTCTTCACACTGCCTCAAGGATTAATACATGTCTTGCACATAACAAAGAAGAAAATATACATTTTATACCAAATTTCATGAGCCACCTGCAGGCTGTTTTCTAGACGCCTGAGTTTTGGGTGCCAAATTTTAAAATTTTTTTTAGAAATTTCAGCTTTCAGAAAAATTCATAATCGTATCTGTTTAATCTTCTTGGCTTTCAAAGATTCATGTAACTTTTTATAATTAAGGTATTAGGATGATAAACTTAAAAGGAGAGAAAAAAAAACTAACCTTCCGTGAATCAGAAATATGTTTAAATGCCTTTAAAAATCTAGAGTAAATTACACATGGAATCCTGATACTTGGGGATAACTACAACTAGGTCTATCATTCTTTGAAATATTAATCTGACCCTATAAAAATTGAAATATAGTTTCCAATATATTTTTGTGCACACTTTCTGATCTTACTCTCTCAATTTTGGATTCTTCTTTACCATTTAACCAAAATTATTTTCTCTGTTTTTTAGGCAGAATTGCTTGTTTTAGTACTTTTTTTTTCATTATGTTAGTCGTCATTAACAGAAGCCAAATATTTAATGTCTATTTAAAACTTAATGAAAATTGATGTGTCTTGTTATGCAAAGATTATATTGTTATCTTTTTGAAAAATAATAGGTTTCAGGTCGTAATTATATCAAGCTTCAAGGAACTCTACTAATTTATCCAAAATGCTGTCAATTTTATATGGGTGTAACAAATTTAAAATCCAACAAGAACCACCTGTGCTTTCTGTGATGGTGTCACACGACAACATATAGCTGTCCTTGACAGTATAGCTAACTCAGTAAAAGCTTTCCTGTAGTGCTTAAGCGCAATTTCTAGAGCCCAGCCATCAACGACAAATGCCACATCCTGTCAGAAAAACAAGAGAAACCTTTATAAAACAAAAAGGCCTAGAAACTATTATGTTGAGAAAATTACTTTTCACTTGAGATTAATTGAATAATAAATATTAACTATTCTTTAAAGAATAAGGAATGTGACTCAAAAACCATACCCTACTTATTTACAACTCCAAACTTTAGAAATACTAGCAGTGTTGTACAGCAGCAATACTACCAAAACTTATTTACGACTCTGAACTTTACAATAGCAGAAATACTAGTAATTAATATTCAGTTCTGTTTTGGCTAGTACTTCTAAGTCTCTTTCCTGCATTCTTCGGACAAAAGTGTACAACTACGCTGGCAAGCTAGGCTAAGAGATCAAGTTTTCACAACGGACAGTTAGTTAATGGAAATAAGTAGGTTCTGAAGTCAGAATTACAAATGAACAAACTGATTTCAGAATTACAAATGTCTAACAGTTTAAGCTGCACCTTAGGTTCTGAAGTTGTTATCCTCATTGTAAGCAAAACTCTTTCTAAACTTTGATATACTTCATCTTCCGTTTTGCCGTCAATTAACAGAAGCTGACCTTTCGGCTCTAATGACAAGGACAGCAAGACAGGTTAGGTTGGTCTAAATAAAACAAAAATTCACAATGAGAAAAAAAAAGAGAGAAGTTGCTCTATTGTTACACCTGTTTTATCCAAGATTTCGTGCATTTAATAACAGAATTAAAGCAGAAAGCAAAAGCACCAGCTTGTAATAAAAATATCAAATAAACACATAAGGATATTGCTAATATTTACATCGGGTATTTTATACTACCTCATAATAGAACAGTATCTGAAACAGTTTTCTTTTTTCTTAAAAAACATAATCTGAAAGCTTGATTTATAAAAGGGAATTCTTTGAAGTATAGGAATATTTTTCTAACAGTTCTCTTCTATCTGTCATAGAATTTATCATTTTCCTCAAAGCATAATACAAAAGATAAATTAGTGTATGAGTGATGCAAGTATATGGTGACAAGTCCATAACATGGTGATTCCTTTGGAACAAAAAAAGATACTTCTTATCTCATCTATGAGCAAATACTTTCTTAGAATTTGGAACAAAAAAACAAACTGCAATAAAAATCATTAACTGAGCAAAGTCCAAAACATGCACAATTTGCATT